ACAAGGACGTCGAATCTGAATCACTTGAAAAACACGGGGGTGCTTAACTTTTTTCCAGGTGTATATATATATGAGACTAGAGTGGTTGAGGACATTATATTAAAACTGTTTTGAAACTTCATCACATCCTTATATACCATGTTGCTACTTGTTGTTCATTCTCCACCTGATGATCATGCATCTTAACAACAGCCCTGCAACATAGTTTCTATTGCAAAAAACTCTACTTTAAGGTTGTCATATCCAAAGCACATCACTCATCCTTGCAGGCTTTCAATAATTCATCTAGTGTATGATTTCCAAGAGCAAATTTGACAGTCCAGTTGCATAGAACTCATAGGTGACTAAACTGATACATCTTTGTATGAAATAGCATGAATACCCATTTCATTCTCAAGTTGCTTGAAGCATGTGACGATTGAATGGATACGTCAAAGAAGCAACTTGTGTCACTTTTCCAGATGGAGATCCTTCTTCACTATGTTACATAATGTTGTCTGGGATATGTTAACAGCTTTTGCCAGTGACTTTTGTGTTCACAGATTCTTGTTTCTTATAAGATGCCACACCTTGCTTGCTATGGCTTGGGGGTATGACTTGTTGTAGATCTCGTTTTGTATGATTATGGTGCCTCATGTCAATTTGAATTTTTTCTTTTCCAATGTTTTTAAGTATGAGAGATATCCCATCTTGGAAATTCTAAATCTCTGATCTGAACACATCTGACTTTATGAAAATTTTGCACCAAAAACAGCTGTCACATACCCTTCCTAAAAGTAATCAATCTTCAGTGGTATCATACTACCTACAAAACTACAAACAAAATGTAGTTCTGATAAATAACATTCCACCACAACTTTATATTAGCTGAGTTGTCACATAATTTGCTTATTTGGATGCTCAAAATCTGTTTAATATATGTACACAATTCGATGACGAGGAACCCACTTTGAGACTAATAATGGCTGGAGACGGCTTAAATGGGTAATGAAGAAAAACTTTAATATAAGTTTAACATGACAGCAAATGTACAACGTTTCGACAAGGTTTTGTCATCATCAGGTACCCATATGTACACAATCTTCTGTCGAAAAGGTAACTAAAATTAATTTAAAAGAAATCAGTTTGTTTGTGATCAATCCAATCCAATGAAATAGAGAGAGTTATTTGACTCATCAGTTTTATTTTAAGGGGTAAGGCTAATGAGTTCATTGTGTTATAATGTTATTTCAATTATTTGCAACAGAAATCTAGAGGATGTATTAACTTTACAGTTACATTTTACTGCAAGTAAGATAGGACTCAATGGGCACAATTACAGATCCTTAACTGTATAATGTTTTATTTTAAAACATAAATCACTGGACTAAACATTATTGCTTCTTGGTTGATCAGTAGTTTAAAATCAATATCCTTCTACCGTGTAAATTATATTTTTAAGTCAAAGCTTCTTAGTTTTTTCAAAAATTGAAATCACTGTATACATTTAGCACACAGTTTTTAACTTACTGTATCTATTTTTTATGAGAACAGCACACTATTATTGTAGGTATGTCTAAAATACATGATAAGAATCTTTATCACATTATGAAAGTTTACATTTTCTTATAGCTGACAAGTATGTTATCATAAATAATACTTTGTGGGTAATATCTTAACTTTTGATTTCTTTAATACTAATCACTAATTCATTGATCTTTCTCCTGTTTACAAACTGTTCTTTTTTTTGCAACTGTTGAATTATCAACACTAACATATTCCTGTGGAATAACATTTTAAATAGACTGACCAGAAGAAGCCATTGTAAAAACAAAATGGTGGTGGTGGCTATAACATAATAATCAGTTTATTTTGAATAAGTTGTACTTGATTTATGAAATAATTAAGTTTATCAATGTAAGCCTCTCTCTCCTTTCCAATAATGACACTTTTCATACCATATTAAAACAATAAAGTTTGCAAACAATAACAAACATTTTGCTATGTTTAGGATACAAAACGTTTTAGACTGTAAACAGAATTAAAAAACCATGAGGTTATTTTTGAACCAGGCTTCAAATAGTTTATAACTTGTCTTTAATTGCACAAATTCCTAAATTATACTTGATTGCCTAAGGGAGTGGCAGCATATTATTATGGATACAATCAATCTAAAAGTAAATAGTGAGATACATATAACAATTACATCAAGTGCAATTAATAATTTCTGAAGAACAATATACAACATTAAATAAAATCTAGTACTCATAATAACATTTTCACTTCTTTCAAACGAAATAAAGAAAACATAGAGCTAATCTGGTAAGTTAGTTTTAAAATACTTAACATGTTGAAAGTTTCTGTTTTCTAAAATTGATTTTTAGTGAATGGTGTTACATCATTACATGACAGAATATTTACCACAACTAAACATCTAAACTCTGACTATAAACATTTTAAGATTAGAGTGAATTTTACTCACCACATTGTATAGACCGATGGTCCATCGCTCAAACAATGTTTGACCAGACCAGCCACAGTAGATAGCAAACCATAGCTATGAAATATAAAAGTTAAAATTGTGCACATAGAGCCAAATTATTTCTTCCTGATTACTCGAATAAGAAATAAACAAAATTCTAAACTAATTAAAGTCTATTTCAGTTATAATAAAAACTTGTGATGAGACAACTGTAATTATTGTAAATTTACTAGCATCAAACAGAACTTTCATATGAGAAAACAGCATATCACACCTGTTTGTAGTGTTTTTGAGAGAACTTGCTACTGTGTTAGTACAGTAAAAAAAAGATGAAACATTAATATGAGATAAAATAAGCTGGAAGGATAAACAATAATTCTTCAACAGATGGAAGAAAAAGTTATTTTTTACACAGATATATGATTTAAGTTAAATTTTATCCAGTGAATCAAAAGACTATTCATATTCAAAGACGATAATTTTACTTGCACCTTACACTAACAGTATATATATATTTATAGTGCCATGTGAGTTGAATGCTCAGAATCACTATAATTGATAAAGTTGATATATAAATATAGTCTCAATCTTCTCTTAAGCATTCAAAACTGATGGTATCTTCAAATTTGAGCCTACTTATGATGATCTCTTATGGCAAATAAGTCAATCACAAGCACATGTACTATACAATAAAAATTAATTAATTTTATGTTTCAATCTGAAGTTTCTAAGGTCTGCATCTGCCTGGAGTATAGGAGTGCTGAGGTTTCACTGCACTGCTGAGGACTTGTGTTATTGGTTTATATACAATTGTCTGATGTTTCTGTTGCATCTCTCAGCGTGGTTGTGTTGTTTATGAAAATTGAGTGTGTAGTCTGAGAAGTCTAGTTGTACAGATATACAACTTTATACAAAGTCAAGGCCTTGGTGATGGTAGGTTTTAATAAAGAACACTTTTTGAATATTTATTGATGGATGTTATGCAGTGCTGAGGATTGATGTCAATTCCAGCTGAAGGTATGCCTAGTGGAATAGTTATGTTCAGCTAGGGCAGATTTTTCCGCTTATAACAGTCTTGTGGCATTTTTATGTATTTTTAATCTCTGATCTACACCTCTTCCAGTTTCTCTAGCATGTGAATCTTCATCTCCACAAGAACTGGGAACTCTGTAAAACATATTATTCTTTGGCTTACAAGATAGCTGTATTTTGGAGTGTGACAGAATAGGATTTGGGTTTTGGTACATTCATTTTATCAACTCAATAAAATATGATTTACTTATGATAATGTGATTGCAGTTGTGGAAAAATTTTGATGGATAGAAAACCAAGTTCTAGATGTGGGTCCTATAAGACTGACTATCAGACAAGTCCAGAAATTTGTTGTGATGAAAGGATCTCCACTATACACCTTAAATAAAAGACCAAAGATACATCTTTTGAGTGGATTGTTTTTTTACTTTTTGTTTACAACATTTTGACCACTCATGTAGCCATCATCAGGTAACTGTCTCTATTTTGTGAAATACTGTGCGAGCATTTTGTTCCAATTTAGAAAACATATAGGGTGACACCTGTGTTTTTATTTAAAAGAGATTTTAGTTCACGAATAATTAATGCTTATTTTATTTCTTTTCTATTAATGTTGTTCTCATTGCATAATATCTTAAAGTTGTTAATGTTAATTGGACGTTGATTTATTGTGCTGTGTTCGTATATGTGTTATGGGGATTTTTATGTTCTTTGATCCTAATGCTGATGTTGCATCCTGTTTTGCCTATGTAAGAGCTATGGCACTGGTACTTGTAGATACTTCTGTCGTTGAAGCTGTCAGAATAAACTTTTTTAAGATGAACTTTGATTTGAGTGCTTGGTTTTTCAACAAAAGTAACTTTGCTGTTTATTTTGTGTGTTTTATGTTTGTTTCCAAATGTTTATGACGTTTTTGGTTACGTGGGTATCACGTGGTAAGACACCTATTAATGTGTCCGAGTTTGTGCATTTTGTTTCCTCCAGGGAGTTTATGTTGTTTTCCTTTTCTTTTTTCTGTTATTGAGTTTGTTTTTATACTTGGTTCAAGTGACACTGTGTTTAGAGAAGTGACGTTTGTTAATAAATGTGTCAGATATTGATTCTAGTTCATGCTGAAGATTGCTGGTACTACATATGTAGTACTTTAACTAAGTGCAGAACATTTCGAAATTTTCTGGTCAATTTAATTAACCACAGTGCCTCAGACTGATTTGATGGAAATATCGACTATTGAAATAATGTTATACAAAAAATAACTTGAAATACATTATTCACAAAATGCAAGCAAAACAAAAACCTTCAGACAGATATCAATGACAACTAGTTTTCTATTATTTCCTATTGTATAATTGTTCTCATGAGGCATAACTGCATTTGTATCTTAGGCAACATTGATAAAGGTGACATTCTTCAAACTATATTTTTGGTCAAGATCAATTTCTCTCAAATAATTATAGTTTGTTTTCAATAAATCCTACAAAAAGATTAACAAAAATGAAAAGAAAGTGAAAAATAAACTATAAAAAAATCCCAGGTTAGTGACTTGTTCCTAAGTTTTGTAAAATTCTCCACTATGAGAATTTCTGTTACTCATATTTTCAGAAATCATATAATACTTTTTACCCCAGTATTATCTACTTTACAACTCCATACACAAACAGGAAAGTTTTCCATCCAATCATGTTTAGCCACTGATTCTATCTTGTTTGGAGGTTAAGATGTATTTGCTATTGTCCAAACCCACTTGATATAGCATCATAAAAGTCTCTTAACACTGATTTCTCAGAAATAATCATCAAGAAAAAAGTAAAAGTCACGTGAAGAACAAGACCTTGAATAAATCTACTTAAAAAGGATGCCAGGGTTTGAGTAAATATAAACCTATACTTTAGGATGGACAGAAAAATTATAAAAAAAGAGTTTTTTTTACAGGTGATACCCATTGAAACTGCACAGCGATCAAAGTTCAAACATTCTGTAAATTTTGTTTTGCAAATTATAGTAAATAAATTTTGCAAAGTTACAAAATATCAATTCTTAGGTATTTTCAAGTTAAAAAATGTAGAAACAGAGTTAGAACTACTATTTTTACTTAAATTGTGAAATATTTTATGCAAGTGTGCTCTCAGTGACCTCTTAACCCTTCTACTAGAAATTATTGGAAACAACAATTTTGGTTAGTTAATTATTTTCATGACATTAATCAATATGATAATAATTTCAATTATTGCTTTATATGTCATTAATTGATGTAACTGACTCATAGATAATCAGTTATATTGATTAATTGCTCAGCTCTACCCTGCAGAAGACATAAGCTAAAATGTTGGATGACTACAGTACTTTACAGTTTTTCCTCTAGAACTAAGGTTGTCTTCTTTTATATGTAACTCTTGGTGTTATTCTTCTTCTGACACAATTAATATAATAATTTCTTGTCTGGTCGTATTTCTCAGATTCCTCCATACAGTTTCCAGAAAATGAAATTCACTGATTAACTAAGGATAGCTGCAATTGTGCTAAAATACCATATACATATTACTAAACTGAATGTGTAAACAGACACAAACTGTACATTAAATAGTGTATTATCATAACACAATAAAAAACAGAGCCATATTTTAAAACATACCAATAAACAAGCAATTTTAAGTTTTACAGACAGGTACATACATAGATCATATCAAGAAATTTTTATACGTATATACTAAAGAAAATAAAATGATAAAACAAGAGATTAATGTAATGGAAAAACAAATATACTTTATACTTCCAAAAAGCATATAATTTGTTTCTATAACTTTTTTTGCCTAATGAGCAGGTACACTATTTTTACACTTCTGTTACTAAAAGCTGAAATTTACAAGGTAAAACAAATTCAAAAATGATGAAAATATTATGGTTCAAGGTTAAATGTTACAAAAAACATTATGTGACTATTAACATCCTCCTTGATATATTATGTACCTACAACTTAAATCAGTATTTCCTTGTTTTGGTGTGTAGATCAATCAAACATAAACATACAGAAGTAATCTAACATAAACAATGTACTTCTCAGTTTAATTATAGGTTTTTATTATGATACATTAAAGCATTGCCACAGATCACAGAATGAAAGTTTACTATGTGCAGTTACACTTAAAAAAATGCTAAGTAAAATACTGAAGACAGAATATTAAATTTATCATGATAGTACATCAAACAAAATATGGTCTCCACATTAATTCTAAGTGTCTTCTGTGAATTATACTTAAACAAATCACAAAAAATTATAAAATGAAAGAAAACAAAGCTCTGGAAAAACTAATCATAGTCACCTCAATAACATATAGGCAGATGTTCTTGTGAAATGAGTACAGAATCAGCTTGCACATTCTGGCATAGCTCCAGGCTCCATGGACAAACAAAAGACGACCAAGAAAACTGAACTAGTTATAAAAAACACACATATAAATAACACTTTTTTATTCTCAATTGGAAAAAAATGACATTTAACTGAGATACTTAATTAAGAGGCAGAAATAAGTTGAGCAAAATTGTTTGCATTAGTGAATTGATAACATTTTAATTAACTACGATAGAAAAAATCTCATTAACCCTCTGGATACTGGTAGGAAAAGTACATGTCACAACTTTTTTTAGAGTTACGTTCAGAATCTAATTAAACTATTTTATTATCAACATATTCCAATAAACCCTTCATCGAAATGTAGTCAATAAATCAAATTTTATTATAATATAAATCTTTTAATTTCTTAATTTCAAAAAGGTATATTAAATAATTTTTTTCAATTTTCCCTTTTCTGTATCACATAACTTGTACAGTCCAAAACTCTGAATTGCACAAGTCAGATAATCTTTCTACCCTTTTTGAGTTTTAATGAATATTACAAATTTATATTTTAGATATTGTTAAGACATAATCCAACTATATAGCCTCCAATCAACTTATATTACTTAGATATAAAGCAGATAGTCCAATCCACATACCACAACCTCCTATCACATACCTTCTTTTAAAAAATGTCACTAATTCTTTATGACATTTGTTATTACATTATCTATAACCAATAAAAAGAGAATATTTTAATTCACTTATTTAGAAATAATGCTATCTCATTCTCATAACAGCTTTTAAATTATTTGGCACACAAATTGAAAGCTGTTATCACCAAATTCAGCTCGACCAGCTTAGAGAATTGTTTTAACACACACATAGCTTAGTTAGAAAGCCAGTCAAATTAAAATAGTTATAGGACATCGTATGTTTTGTGCATGTTATTATTTTGTTTTAAATTAAATGTCTGAAATTACTAAAAATTCAGCAAATTACTACCAACAACCATAGCAAAAATTAGGGCTAACTTTTAAAGTTACTTCAATTTTGCAAAATGTAAGTACTAAGTTCCTTTTTTTTTTAAGGATATCTTTTATTTATTGTTATGAAAGTAACTAAAATGTAAAAATTAGAAACTTATTAGGTTAGATAAGAAAACATAGGTTAAACAAAAATAATATATCAATTTCTCTGTGAGGTATGTATGCAAGAAGCTCATGCATTAGGTAATTCAACACCTAACTTGAACTATGCACTTGATGGGTGATTTATAGCTTTTTATGTAGGTTTAATAGTTCAACATAGTTAAAGGAGCAACAAAACAAGGAAATTAAATAAAAACAGATACAAACTGTTATAAGCCTGAGGCTGTTTAGGATACATAGCTGTAACTTTCTGTTAGAGTATGCAGTCAATCTAGAGAGAAAAGGGGATATTTTAGATTTATTTCTTTTTTTCTGTGTGGTTGTTGCAAGGTTAGTTAAATGGACCAAGTCCATATAGTGTTACGGTAATGAAAAAACAAACTTTTGATATCCATTTAGAATGTTCTAGAGGTTATGCATATGAAATTTCAAAGCTGTAAAATGAAAAAAGGTATTTTTAATCTTAACATGAAAATTACCTTGCACTCAGACTAGTAAGTGTCAGACTTGGACTCCATAAATTCACAGACAACTCTTAAGTAAAAATACTGAATTAAACAATATGATGTTTTGTATACAAAAGACTTGTAATGTTTATTATGAGCTTGCCAAATTTTGTGAAGATACACTTACAAGATTATAAGTTATAGTATGCACAGTTTCATGGCTACATAATGTTTGCAAGAACATACAGAGATGGTTAATGGGAAAAAAGGGAAAGGATCAATAATAAATGTTTAGAGCTAGAAGATTATGTGAATATATTATTCTCAGAAATGAATTCATTATAAACATTTAACTGTCAACTAATTGATGATCTTACATTTTAATATGAAACCTTAAAACTGAAAAACGTCCAGAGTAGTCACACTGCACAAAGTAATATG